AAAGTTCAACTGGTTGCATACTGGACTGTGTGTGACGAGTGGGCTTTCACGCAATGTGACGCGGCTTGTATGACATGGAAATGCCAAGTGCATAGGAATGCAACGTGCGATTTTTTAATTTGCACGGTCGGTCATCTTTAATTCAACGCGTAAGTAAACGTTGTCTATTCATCGAGATCGATTTAAAAAAATAAAATACTTAGGCATATAATAGAAACACAATATTAGGATTAAAAATTATTTTAAAATAATATAAAAGAGCTTTTTATTTTATTATTAAATAATTACTATTCTTTATATTTAATATTTAACCCTTAATATTTTTTCTATTGCGCGCAGAAAATAATCGTCGTTTATATCTGGGAATGAGGAAGTTGCAGGAAATGTTTTTTGAAATACCCAATGCGCGTATATTTCTGTATATATATATATATATCTAATATCAAACTCGTACGTAAATTTCATGAAAGATTCAGAATAAAAATTAATCGCGGCAAAATTGCATATCAAGTTGAACATCTTTTCAGAGATAAATTGAATTTCTGGATTATTTATAAATAATGGTGATAGTTAAAAATCCTGGAAGAGCACGGCTCGTTCACCTCTAAGAGTAGTCGAACGTTTAAAGGCTTTCTCAGTCTCTTTCGTTTCATCGTCACGAAACGAGCACTACGTACAGCACCAGTTATCCTTGAGTTCGATCCCCTCGATACGATTGGATCAACCAAGTATGCGTGATCGCGGGCGTGTACGCTTGCGTGTGCGGAGATTAGATTTATGCGTATCGACTTGTCGCGTAACGCGACTCGAATTAATAAATTCGTAATACGTCCGCTTCGATTGGCCAGGCATCTCCATCATTTGCGTACATAACTGTTTCCTCCGTTGAAATAAATTCAAGTATTGCGTCTTTGAATTTTCGATTTTGCTACGACCATATAATCTTGTATTTTCCAATTTGTCAAATGTGATTTCTTGCAATTTTGAAAATGTATGATTCATAGATATACCTACGTGATTTATTTCGTTGGAAATAACGTAAATTCTGAGTTTCTTTAGGGCCGGTTGTTCCAACTCTTGGTAAGTTTTATCCGACAATTAAGTAGCATATCTTTGTCTCTTTTTTTAGAACTTATCTGGAAAGAGACGAAAATATGCTATCTGTCAGGTAAAACTTACCGAGAAGTTGGAAAAATCAGCCCTTAATCTTTCAAATGATGAAACTGTTGTTATTGTTTTATTATTGACATATGGAAGAGCTTTATATCTAATCGCTACGTGTTTGTACAGATCTACGTTTAGATTTGTTCAAGTATTTCTTTTCTATCTTTATTAAACTGACTATGATGACACAAAGATACACACATATTTTCCTATGCTAGTCTCAAGAAATTGAATTATTTTGCACGCTAAATTGCTTGCATTGTATAACAAGTAGGTATATAGAATAAAATGTGTAGAAGCATGAAAATGGAGGACGAATCCTTCGACGTCGCGACATTAAATCGAATATTGCACTAGTCCATTTGGTAGGAAACGCAATTTTCGCCGTCTCGACGTAATCGAGCAATTTTACTAATTTGCGCGTAACGAACATCATGTAATTAGGCTGCACGGTGAAATCGAGAGAGAGAGAGAGAGAGAGAGAGAGAGATGTTGGTGCGAGATCCGGACATTTCTATGATCGTTTTGCTAATTTTAAACTATTTCATTTGCCTCCTAGCGGGATTAAATACCAACGAAGCGGCAAAGCAGAAGCATTTTCGTTTCGCAGAAAATACACGTCTCGGTAAATTTATCTCAAAAATCCGATGTTTATTTGCTTATTCTCCATGATAAATACCGCTTGCTTTTTGACAAAATAAATTTATAGCAAAATTCTTTTACCCAGAAAAAATTTATAGGCATTAATAAATCTCACATCCTTTTTCTGTTTATACAGAATTATAGACGCAAATTTTTTCGTTTCACGTTTTATCATCTTCCCGTTACATCAAAGTGACAGGGGTGTAATTTTCTCCTCAACTTTACAAACTGCATACATGTTTCATAAACAGCGTATATGATTTCGGAGTGAAATGCGGCTTATATGGAATATTTTCACACGGTTTTAATAATATCTTGAATTCTACTGTAAATATTTTCTAGAGAATTAATTTAACGTAACTTTATAGATAGAAGTTTAAAAACTCTTTTTGCGCATTTTATTACACACTCAAAATAAATATTTTGCAATACTGTACATTAATTAGATGTGTAAAAGTCAATATTTTTTAACGTTATTCTAATATTGAAATACTTTTATAAATTCTTTCCTCTTAAATTACATTAAATTATGAATTTGTCAAATATATAAATATTAATACATAAATATTAATATATTTAATAAATTACGATATACTTTAAAAAATATTAAACAATTAAATATTAATTAAATATATCTCTGTGTATAAAATAATGAAACAAGCAGTACTGGCAGGTATTTAAAAGAAGATCAAAGTAAAGATCGCATATAGTGAAAGAGGAAATTTAAATTACTTTTCATTATGATGTTATGTCAAAAGAAAACTTATGTTAAATCTTATTAAACTATCCCTAATAGAATACTTCTATTTCCTGAAGTTTCGTGTAATAGTTACTCGTGTAACACGTAGGTACTTATATGTAATTAATTTTTGATGCTACGAAATTTTATTTTTAATGCACTTACTATGCATGGCATGTTGCGGACGCAAGCTTTTCGCAACGATAAATTGAACATTATGCTATTCGATGAACGAAATGTCGTTTTGGCCGTGCCAAATGTGACACGTGCTCGACCAGCAAAGGTCATTGAAACGCGAGCGTCAACCGCACCTCGTTGCACCGTCATTTTCGCTGTTGAGAAACCGTCATGCATGAAGTGCGTCATCCCGTCTATGAAATGGAAATCCACAAAGTGAGATACGCGAGCTTATATAATTCACATGGCGCATTGACGGTCTCGACGAGCACCAAGGATCCGCGTCAGGATTTCTAAGCACATGAGAATGCGCGATTGTCACGGAAATCGAATTCTCACTGATAGCTGATTGTAATGTTCACGATGACACGAAACGTCCAGCATAAGGAAAACGACATATATTAGTCATGCTACGACCGGTGCGATTGACGTCACGTCTCCTGATTAATGAAGTTTCGCGTTATCAGAAATATCTGAGATGTGCAGTCAGCAATATTAGTAACGAATATTCGATTTTATTCCACCTATATCCAGTTTCGTCAATTTTTAACCAAGTTATATAAAAGTTCTGCGAGTTATACTTTTAGTATCTAATTTTCTAAAAAAAATCATTCTGTCAAAAAGGAACAAGAAAAAATATGAATTTAATACATAATGTCATTAAAATTAAAACAAATGGTCTATAGAAAAATGCCTCAATCTTATAATATTTTGTAAAATAAAAATAATCTAAATTTTTTTATCTCTATTTTGTTTGAATGAATGAATACTTTATATAGTTATGGCATAAATAGTGATATATAGTCTAAAAACAAGATATAATAAATTGTTGTATTAAATATTCAAAAGGAGGAGGCAACAAATATTTTTAATATTTAAAAATATGTATATGAACAAATGTTTAATTTACCGTATGTAGAAGATTGCGAGAATGAAATGAGAAATACGGACGTGAGAGACGCGATGAAGGGTGAAAAATGGAAGCAATAAGAAGGGCAAACCGTCATTTCCGACGGCTGCAAATCTCAGATTTTATGAAGCGTGGAATAAATCGTCCCTTCATATGCTTGTTCACAAAACACTTGTAAGAAAAACGTTGATGGTCACGTCATGAGCATGCAATTTTACGATTCATATTAATACTCATATACTGGATTTTGTCGCGATGACAGCGTAATTACAATTATAAATAAACCAAAGTAAAAAAAGTGAAAACAAAGATATACTGCATTACACTACTCGTTAGAATTTTGATTATACATATAGAAATACTTTGATTTATTCATGATAATCAAAATTGTGAAAGTTTTAGAAATCATATTTCATCGAAAATATTTCGATAAAACTAAAGTCAGATAAATTTACACCCTTCAAGTTTAAGAAATATTAAAGAGAATATATTATAATTATTTATTTTTGACAAATACGTAAAAAGTAATTAATTATCTAAAGAATATAAAAATATTTTTATGATTTATTTGTCGATTTTATGATTAGCTTAATTAGAATTAGAAACGAAAAAATGCATAATGTATATTTCTCTTTGGTAATATTAATGTAAAGATAACTAACAAATGTTTTATCTCTCTGTTCTTTGTAATAATGGTTTTTCAACTAATATTTTTATTCTTTCTTTATGAATATGCAAAATGGCATTGAGAAAAAGAGAAATTCAAATTGCAGAATTAATGTATTTGATCCAATTTCATTTGAAGAACGCACACAAAAAATTCGACAGGATCTAATTTGAAAATAAATGTCCCTTCACTTTAATTAAGTGAATACAGGTTATTTTGTAAGATATATTAGAAGTGTATTTTTTCTGAATTTTGAGATAATTTGTTCTGTATTCAAATTTGATTGAATATCGGTTGAATACTATTTTCACAAGCTTTGAGTTACCAATATTGAATATTTTGATAAAGCTAAAGCTAGATAAATTTAAATCCCTCAAGTTAAAAGTGCATCAAAATGCACTTGAACTAAATGAAAATCCCTACACTTAGTTTTTCATATTCGATTTTAAATAATTCCATATTTATGAAATTTTTGACGAGAAACTGTGACAGAAGGGGATGGTACCGATGAATATGATCTTGCAGCTTGATGCAATTTAAGTGAAATATTGTAAAGTTAGAGCAATATTGTATAGTTGCAGCTGTCACATGTGTATGTAGACGTGCACGATAGTTTCGTCTCATATCGCAGACATTTGTGAAGTATGCGCGAGTAACCGTAAACGTTATTGTTGACGTAAAAAATAACACCAACGACGTACCGAGAGACGAAGACCATTTCCAGCATGGCTGGTAGCCCTCTCGAGTGGCTGGTGGGCGGATGGGTGGTTTCCCATTTCTCTCGAGCAGCGATGTTTTCACGATGAACAGTATCACTCGCGTCAAGTATCCAAATACAATGAACTGTTGGCGATTTTAAGTACCTTTGGTGAACCATTCGCAGTATCCAACTATCATTCAACGACATCCATGCGCACTGATATACAAGTGTGATCTTTACGTTTATCTTTCACACATTGGAAGAGAAAGAGAGAGAGAGAAAAAATTGACCAAGTTTCTCTTCAAGATCCCCGAATGATTCGATGAGGTTTTGATGAGGAAAGATTCAAGTATTACGCGAGTCTATACATCGATTTGTCGACGGATGACCTTTCGGTCTCTTTCACCTCCGCTATATAGACTCCGAATGCCTGTATTATTCATCAAGCCATTCAGAATGACGTGCACCTCATCAAGATCGATGCTGAGCGCGCAGAGCTTCTCGATCATATCACAAAACAATTATATCACTGGTCCCTGGTGTTACGCGACGTCTGTTTCACACATTTGATGCATCACAAACCGCCATCAAGAGATGCGCCTCCTCGTCGCGACAGGCTCCGAAACGTTCCACGCTGGAGTCGAGCACTTCACTTGCGCTTAGATCGCCAGCGATCAAGCCGACCGGGGGTAATTTTAGTCCGGCACAACTGCCACACTGAATGGATGCCGCGAAAAGGCAGATAGAGAGAGAAAGAAGAGAGAAGTAGGGGAAAACGCGTTACTGCTGCTGATGGATGTCGTGGTGCGCGGATGACATGGCGGCGCGAGATGCTGCAGAGTAAAACCGACCGGTAAAAACGCAACCGCGGATGAATGTGAGAGAGAAGACTATTGCCTCCTCCTATATTTCTCCCGCTCTCCTTCCTCTTTTTTTCTTCCTTTTCTTCTGCCTCTTTTGCCTTTTTTTTTTTAACCAGCAAACTGGTCATGCAACTTGCTCCAGGCTGACGTCACAGATTCTACCTAGAGAAGAGTGGGATTTCGATCAGGCTCTCTTCGTTTCTGGTCCCGGGACTAAGTCCTTCTTCTCCCCGAATACCTTCGCCTCTTCTGTCTCCTTTCAGCCTGCAGCTCGCAGGCAGATACCGCAGAACACCTTTGTGGACAAACAGCGGGAAACCGCGTATTTTACTGCACGCCAGGCTACGATGCAGTTAGCTTTGTCTTGTGTGATGATGCTTCCTTACGCGATCTTTTTCCGTTTGTTATTTATAAACGATGATTGCGTGCGTCCTCAATATGTCTATCATCGCGAACTTCGATCGTATAGTCTTCTTGCTCCCCGCAAATTGCGTTTTTTTTATTCTTCTTGAATTGTAATTGGTGTCGTGTGATCTTCTTCTAAGATACTTCTAATGCGAATTTCTCGTTGCAAATTTTTCGACTGAATAAACGAAAATTTTATCTAGACGATCGGAAACTCATTTGAGACTAGAACTAACTCCGTTAAACTTTCGAGTATCTGGCATTTAAATCCTGCAGTTTGGATCTTTCCTCACGGAGTTCGAGAGATACCGCGTGCGCATTCAATTAAACTGACTTCGCGTTGCCTTAATGCGCTAATTAATAAGGTCACGGCGGAAGAAGACTTCGGTGTATTTTATGGACTCGCTCCCTTGCGAATTCCCTTATCGTGAATCCTTTACAGTTTAATCGATACAATTTCCTACCCATCTAATTGCATAGCTGTAGAGTGCTTCCGACGAGGCAATTGAGGCATCGTTCCAACAACAAACAAGTTGATCTCTTCCGTTAATTTTTTCCTCTTTCTTTTTTTTCGTACGGCTCTTTTGTGCTGCGCTCTACGTCTTCGTGTGTACCGCGAGGTAGGACTTAAACACGATGGTAGCTCGCGATCAAAGTTTTCTCGCGATAGAGCAACATTTGTCGCAAAGTGTATAATGCGATTATCCACAACTTCGTTTAGTGTGGACCAACTGCAGTAATGGAGTGCTGCGCGATGCGAGTTCCCACGTTTTTCCGTTAGCCCCGTCACCGTCACGCTCAGTTACTTCCGGCGACCCCACCGGAACTGGAAAGTACGTTTCGCTCTTCGTAGGATCCAGTCGTCTGACGATTTTTCGGAAAAATCATACTCTTGGAAAAATTGTATTCGTCACTTCTTTCCGTTTCAAATTTATCTAAACGAATAAAACGAAGAAGACAACACAGCACGATGAAATCCGAACACACATCAATGAAAGAGTGTTATTATAAAAAAAAAAAAAATATTCACGTCGTTTAATAAGTGCTTGATAATTCAGGTAGAGAAGAATTTGTCAGGTAATCCAACGGGCGGTGACGATGCCTACGGCTTTCAAATGAACGCTCAACGCTTTCACGCAATAACGAACACGCCATCTGGACGGGGACTCACAGGCGACACAGGTAGATGATTCAACAGCGTAATCATTTTACGGGGAAAAAATACGTGGAACTTGGACGAGCACTTGTCAATGAAATTCAGATTTGAAAGGAATACACAACCGCACCGTTGCACTTTTGCCGCGGAGAACGACGCGACGCAACATTGCGGACTTTCACCGATATCTGGTACGAGAAGAGTTTGTTCGACGGCATATATTCTCGGGCACAAGCCAGCCTGTTCCACAACGGATACACGGCTACCCTCCCTGAAAGACTCCACAGACGTGAATGCCGAGGGTCCAATGGGCCCAGGTCGCTCTATCCCACTCACTGTCGCTTGCCAGGGACAGACATAGGATTACAAGATCCTTCCTCCATGAAGAAACTTTGTCATAATACTTATTTACGATCGCTTGGCAAATATCTGCAATATTTTATTACAATATACTGAATATATTGCTACGTGGACATTGCCTACATTTGATGAATCTATTTTGATCAAAGTCGTATTTTTATAAGTAATTTTTTTTAATTTCATATTCGATTTCTGTCGGTAGATTTCGATATATTTTTATAGAAAAATTATTGAAAAATATGCTTATTCAAATAGTAAACTGATAAATTTTACAAAATTTTTTACATGTTATGTTTTGTACATGTATTTATATTTCCTGAATTATAGAATGAAACATTGGGATTAAAACTGATTAAATGTTTCATATAATTTTTGACAACGTATGTGCATAAATATACAGATTGTATTGGCATATTAGCACATTTGAATAAAATTTCAGGAACGTGATAAATTACAAAACACAACCCTGTTCGAAAGCAACCGAATAAAAGTCAGTCCTTCCTCTTCTTTCCAACGAATGAATGCCTTAGCCTGAGTCAGATCCAGGTTGTTTTCTTCTCCCTACCTTACGTATCTCAGGGATATAGCTAGTGACAACGATACCCCGACCATCGACTTTTCGCTCGAGGTTCAATCACGTGAAACCGGTTTTCGTGTGATTACACCTTCCGAGGACGAGCTCGGTTCTCGAGCTGGATCGGAGAGAAATTTACATCGACGCGATCCAGAAATCGCCGTCGCGATCTTTTGCAGTTCACGTTAGGTTACCGAGACCGCGGATATTCAGGGTCAATGCGAGACGGAGAGTCGGGGTGGATATCCAAAGTTTACGGCGATGAGAGAAGCAGCTGCCGCGGCAAATGCTCGTACATCTGCTGAGACACGACCGAGAGAAGTTTATCGCGGAGTTCAACGCGTCTCTCTCCTCTCAGGGTGAACCTCTCGCCCTATAGAATTTGTTTTGGATACTTCACAATTCGATGAAAAATATCGAAGAATTATAACATTTTTCATCGAGAAAAGCCTATCGAATTTATCTCTTTCATATTTGTGACGAATCTTTCTCGTTACGCAAATTAAAATCGAAAATGCATAGAGCAGAAAATGTATTAAATCTCACTTAAGGTCAAAGAACCTTGCAGAGTTTAATGCTACATGGCTACTGATACATGCTACTGATAGAAGATGATATAAAATACTGATAGAAGATGATATAAAATACTGATAGAAGATGATATAAAAGCGACATTAAATAATGGCTGAAAGTCAGTCAAGAATAATTAAATTAATTATATTACGTGAAAATAACAAGAAAAAGTAAATCATTAATTTGACCAAGATTATTTAATATTATTTCACATTTTAAAGCTGATGTATGTGAGACTGAAGATCGTATTCTTGTTAAATTTAAATGAGATTTAAAACAAATTATACATGCGTTAAGATTTAATTAAGTAAGATGTAGGTAACATTTAACGGTACTAAAATTTCTCAATGACATGTTTCCTCTCTCACTTTTCTCCAAGCAGCTGCGATACATGGATTTATTTTTCGCGTTTAAGGGTGCGACAAAGATGACGAAAGAAACTTAACATCTGCCTTTGCTCTCCTACGTCAGGGTCTTAAATGCAGGAAGTTTGTTCTAGAGGTTTTCTATCTTTAATAAGTATACGACCATATTAAATTTAAAAAATTTTGTTTTTATTTAATTAATCTTAAAGAAGCGGCTAGGTAATTTTGTCACCATGATTAATGATACGAATTTAATTACAGTCGTATGTTAAAAGCTTTTTAAAAAATATAAAAAAGATATATATATAGAAAAAATATAGAAAAGAAATAGCTTTTCAAAAGCTATAAATAGATAAAAGGCGCAGATTCAAGTACGTTTTGTTTTCCAGCAATGTGAAGAGTTTTCAATGGTACAAAAATATAAAAGGTATTTAAATGGCTCAAAGTCCTGAAAAATAAATGTCTCATTCTTCTTACAGTCCTTAAAAATCACAAAACATAAATGTCGGATTCTATTTTTATCAGCAAAAATATATATAACTTTGATCAACATTATTTTTTTTCAACGTGACACATATATGATCATATTGCATAATAATGGCACAAACAATTAAGATAACACTATTTTAACACAGACTGATAGTCGCTCTGTTCCTTTTGTATACGGTAAAAATCTCCGCTTCGAAAAAGGTCGTGAACCACAATAACGCGTTGCCCAGCTGCGATTATTTCGGTCGGATTTTTTTCACATTACGTGCGATACGCATATATGAAAGTTTCACAATACGCCACGTAACGCACACACACTCAAAATATCGGAACGCTATGCGTGAGCACAGGTGTAAAAAATAACGAACGGTAGGTGCACTTGCGTCTGCCAATTGAAGGGTGAGACTCCCAACATACTTCTGTTGAAACCTGCAACTGCGATTGCTATTTCGGTAGCACCCTTTTATCATCTTTCGTGGTTCGAATCTGCGGGCCTCATATTCGACTGTGGCGAGTCAGATTAAAATTGCAAAAGTAATAATATTATAGAACAAATATTAATTTGTCAGTATATACTGATATATGAGGTTCTAATGTATTTTAAACTTTAAAAATACTGAGAATTATATTGGTCTACAATGTCATATTTCACGCTCGTTTTTCATATATCAATTTTTTTATATTGAATATTAAATTCTCTAGCAAATTTGATGCAAAAACTTTCCCTCAGCAGAGAAGACTTTCGAGAGTATAAATTTTCCAATATTTTTAAGTTGGTAAAACTTGAATATTTATTATATTGAGATGTCTATAAATAAGTATTTCCTTACTATATACATTCATATTATTTTAAAATATTTTAAATACTACTATAATTAATACGAATTTAAAAATGAATGAAAATATTGTCAGATTAAATGTATTTATTTACAAATTATAATTAATGCGCAAGCAAGTTTGAAATATTTATGCAACATAGGCTATGGCGCGGCGTGTTGTTTGCCATTTTCAGATATGAAAATATCCATAAGCGGTTTCGGGAGTATAACATACTATTGCAAAATATGTCTGTGTCAATGGACAGGTATCTGCATCACTTTAACTGCCGGTTCACAACCGAATAAATTTTATCACAAATAAATTCGTTGAATACATCTTGCTACTATAAAATTTTATTCAGTTACAACATATGATATATAAATAGAATAGTCTTTTTTTACAAAGAAATATGTTACTTTTAATGTACTTTAAGATAATATCGTGTTAAAAATCATTGAAATTACATCATTATTAAATATTGCTAAGGACGCTCTCATATTCATTCAATATCAATTGTGCAAATGTTTCTTCATAAGAAATGATAGCGTTTTGTATAAAAAAAATACGTGTGTTTCTATTCTCTCTCGCACGTGCGTTTACGGATGCGCCATATGGTCGCGACAAAACCACATGCCAGTATATTCCCATGCATATCGAGCTGGCAGGTACCGATACTAAGGCATGTGTTTCGATACACATACCATCTCTCCATTGTCGGAGAGTTTCGGGCGTAATTATCCTACTTCGGCAATTAATTAAAGCGCAGCAAGCTCTCTGGATTCTCAAACGCCTTTCTAAATAGGCACAATATTGCGAACGTCAATTAAAGCTTAAATATTATACACACGCGAAATTGCATAACAATATTTGCTCAAAATGTGGAAAAAAACTTGAAAAATTATTTTTATTTCAATACAGTCAATTATGCATAACTATGTAAAATGATCAAAATAAGATTAATTGCGTCCGTGATTAAAATTTCCTCAACGTAGGCATTAAAGTAATAAGTGAAAATAAATGAATAACTGCGAGTTATTTTAAAATTATGATAGATAAATATTGTGGTTCTTACTTTTTACATTTAATTGTTAGAATTATTTTTGAAGTATAATAGAAATTCTTGTTTGGGGAAAAGTCAAATAACTTTATCAATAGGAATTTAAAAATCAAAGAGGTCAAGTTGTATGTTTTTGCAAGAAATCTGATTAAAATTGAGATTGACGAGGTTAAATGCGATAATACGATTTAAACGAGTGCCTATAGAGAAAGAGAGAGAAAGAGAGAAAAAGTATTAAAATATCCAATTAAAATTTATTCATTACGACATCCGTATGGCATCCGTTAGCATACTGTTAACTAGATGGGAGGGATCATTCGCTGGAATGTTTGACGCGTTTAACGTGTTTGCTAATTGCGATGCAGGAATTGCGTTTGCTTTCCACAACGATTAAATTTTAACAGGTCAGTTTGAAGAAATTAAATCGTTTGATCATAAACGTTGACATTTTCCAACGAACATCGCACGTAATAAACTCAAATCTAAAGATTTTTACTTCACAGAAAAATTATATTTATTGCATATATATTAGCCATAATTTAATAATGATTTAATTTCAATGATAAAATGTCAACACATTATTATCGTAAAAGTATATTAAAAGTAACAATTAATTGTGAAGATATATTAAAAGTAACATATCTTTTTATTAAAAGACTATTCTATTTATACAATATGTTATAACTGAATGAAAATTTTATAGTGAAATATATTCAATAATTTTATTATATACATATATGTATAATTAATAATTTCTATGACGATATTAATTGCGTGAAGCTAGTATATTAATATTTGCTAAAACGCCATATCTATACTATAATCATGTAGAATCTTAATAAAGAAGGTGCTGTTACAGCCAGAGAAATGTCTTATCCGTGTTAATAACACCCTGTAAGTTATACAACAGAGAAACAAGGCCTTATTCATTTTACTTGACGGTTGCCTTTGTTTTGAGCGTGGCTGTCTCACCGGTTAAGAGATTGCGCGCTAATGAGCGCTTTCTTCTCCACCATTACTCATTTCTTACTGCAAATCAACGGCGATTC